GAAGCAGACAGAGTATCATACGTTCCTTCTTGTGTCACGACATTCCCTGCATTGTTTTCGAGTTCTCGTCAAGACATTGTTTCGCGTCACAGGTTTGCCTCGAGGGTTATCACCAATGCTTCCTGTGTAATCTCTCGGTTCCTATCGCTTTTTTAATGACTGTCGTCCTTCGCCACCATTGCGGTAGAGGGGAATGCAGGAGAGAAGACATTTTGCTCTACGGTGACCTTAAAAATCAAAATCGCTTTTCTATAGACCATTTTGAGAGACAACTTTAGCAGGTGGTTACAAACGAATCTCGCCGATGCAACGGGCAAAATAATCATTTGAATCAGTGATTGTGCATCTCGCCACTTGTCGTTTACAAAACGGATAGTTTCTTCTGGTTTTATACTAAACTTCATATTATGTTGAGAAGCCACCGGTGATCGGTGACGAATCATCTCTTCTAGCCTTTGGCGTTCCGACGCCTAACCACAGGAAAGTGGTAACACTGGTAGCTTTTATTCTTCAAAGGCGCGGATCGTTTTTGTCTCATCGTAACACTGCCATTTGGCATTATGTCTTTTTCTCTGATGATTCGACTTGTCGGGCTCGAACCTAGCCATGCTCGGGTGAGCTTGTCACAGCTAATCTTCATATCTGAAGATAGTTACCCTATCCGAAACCCGGTAACAAGTCAGAAGAGCGGTAGCTAGACATACACATTGGTATTGTTGTTTGCAGCTCCTGACATTGATTTCGGTTTTTCTTATGGTAATATTGTTAAAATGGTCTGCTTACATGACATACGGCTATGGCAGCCCACATGGCCCACTGATGTTGCCACTTCTGGAGGTTTTCGCATTGCTGGCGTAGAAACGTGATCGTTGCAGTGTCGGTCGTTTTCCTTACACGTCCATAATTGGATGCAATTTATGGTAGCCTTCGTACTTTCTTGGAGCTTATCGTCCGGCGCTAATCTCCATTATTGTTTGTAAGCCATGAATTCTTTGCTGTTTTTTTTAAGGTGACATCTTCGTCTCTTGGTAACCAGTGCAGCAAATAATCTGCGGTATCGGTCATATCGTGCCGTTCAGCATGACCAACCCGGCTGATGCTCGAACTCACGACTTCCTTACTGTGCTACCCGGGTGTAGGCGATTGATGCTTGTCTACTTATTACTCAGTTAACAATTTTCATTTATTCCATGCGCGGTATTCTAGTGTATGACCAACAACGTCTGAAAAAGAAACAAGCCTCCTTCCGCTTACCCTAGTCTTTAAGCTGGTAATTCGAGGCTTTATCACAGTTTCTTTCTTTGCTGCCCATATAAGTCTGTCATCTTGAAAGCAGACGCAAGGAAACGATGGCGTTGTCGAAGTACAGTATGGATCATGTCGATTTAGACTCTGAATCCAGTCATGTAAAGAGGAACAATGACGAATATCATTTTTTATCAAACTCTTGACGACCTCATGATAGCTAGTTGTAAGTTGTCATGTGATCGACATGTCTGAATTGTATCCGTTGACATCTCACTAGTTGGCTGGAGGCGTCTGTCGAAGTTCATCAGTGTGAATGGTGATTGAGTACATCACAATGGGTCACAGCGCGCATGACCTTTATGAAACATCTGCAGGAGGTCATGCATTAATAAGTAGATAAAAGAATCTATTCATGAAATGATTATCAAAGATATAATATGAAACGGTTAACCGTCAACGGCTATAGTATGAAACGGCTTACTAGACTTTTGAAACCAGTGCTGCTACTAACAAGATTCTTAGGTGGATATAATGAGGTTGACAGGTTGACAACCAGTATTGAACGTGATCATGTTTCGTAGAACTTTTACTGTACCATTAGCATATGGTTATTGCTTATCTAAAACGTTATTTTGAGTTATGCTTCATCGTCATCTGAGGTATCATGGTTAAGGATGTAGTAGCTGAATTAACGGTATCTGATTTACAATGCGGCGAAGAGCAGCGTCATATATTTTGAGTGTTACTTTATGAATATAGCCTAAGATTTTTTGGATACGACACGAAACAGAAAACTACCTCTAGAGCAATACTGTCATTGCCTATGTATCCGCTGAAAGCCTCAGCTTAATGTTTGTTCTTCTGTCATGCGTGGGAATTAATGCGACTGTCATGCTGCTGTCCATATTATTGTCAGACAAATTGTTGATTGCCATTTTGATAGGTGAGATTGGTTGCGCGTCTATACGACTCCGAAGGCCACGACTACGTAGACCAGTGAAACTTGACTGAGGTGATGTCAAGAGCCAGAAAGACTGTATCGTAAAGATCGAACGAAGCAGTCCCCCTACAGTAGCGTGCTTGTGCAGACTGTGTCGTGTATCGTCCTTCCTGCGGTTAGTAGCGGATGGGATCAAGCCTTAGACACGTCAGTACGTTCAAAAATTCTGTTGCAGCCACTACCTGTGACATGACTACCACTGGATCCAAGATCCGTTCAAAGCGACCAATGGTGGACGCAAAATCCCGAAAGGGCGGATTTTTGCGCCTTAATGGAGCGGATAAAGCCAGTTGCCGAGTGGTCATGGAACGTCTACGTTTGACTATAAGCTGGCAGGAGTTGACTGAAGAAGCAGGATACAAATCTCTGAATATTGTCAGAATCTTTTCTATCAAAACCTGCCATTCTAAAGCCTTCTTTAGATCTGAACAAGAGGTGAAGGCTTTTCTGTTCTGGAGCGAACTCGAACACGTGAATTCCTGGTTGACAGCCTTACACTTGGTGTGTTAATCAAGGACAAAGTGCAGTTGAATCTTCATTTCTGAGCGTAGTACATATTGAGAATCGATTCGCGGTTCAAAATACGAATTCGTCCCATGCAACTGCAAATTATGGATATTATTCGACCATAATTTGTTAGATATAACGAATTGACAACAATAGGCTTGACTTAAAATTAATTTGTTTGTTTTGTGTTTG